TCAAATACTTAATCTATGAATCACACTGTCAAATCCCTCAATGAATTCCGCTAAAAATAGGTCACAATTATGCTGTATGCTTGCCTCGCATTATCATCATTTAGTTTTAGGCAGACGTTAAAAAGAAAAAAAAGAGCACACACTCAACTTCAGCCAATGCTTATTTATTAAAATCAGCTGGGGAAATGCAGAACAATGGAAAATCAATCAATAGCCTGACAGAATTCTTCATCTTCATATAACGTTAATATATTAAAACACAAGTCAAAAACAATAGGAAATTTTATCAAATAATAGCCTACATGAAGTATGTTTTTAAAAGCCGTTATAATGCTATATCATCTAAAAACAAAACGAACAAAAAGAAAGACAGGACCTGAGGCTATTAACAATTCCTGCACTTGAAAAAACGCGCTCTGCAGGAATTGAAGTCGCAGGCACGCAGAGATAACGAAAAGCAAGCCAACAGAATTTAGGAAAGCTCCTGGACATCCTGCACCACCACCGAAGTGGGTCTTCGTTAGAGGAATAGATGGCGCGGAAGGGATCGCAGCGACGGCGGGCTGTGGTGAATGACGTTATTGACATTAGCTGGCTTTGGCTAGTCTCTAAGCTAACGCCTACGTGCCTGTATTGAATATGATTACGCATCTCTCCAGTAGAGTTATTGTAAGCCAATTTGACATTACACGGTTTACACAAAACTTTTCCGTTTCCTTCTAATTCAAAATAATCCCACACCTTGCTCGTCTTTCGCGTGGTCACTTTTGAGCTCGCCACAACTGACATGAAGAAAACTCATGCAAGGTCTGAGGTAAAATTGAAGTTTACGCCCAGATACACTTTTAAAAATAATGTATTATTTTTCAAATGTTTTAAATGTAACAATGGTAATTTGATGGTAACATAAAATGATGGTAATCTGAAATTGTTTTTTTAATTTGTAAAAAAATTAATAATTTGTAAAAATTCATGTAATCGACTATTGTTTTCAGTGTCGACTAGTAGGAGCTGTACCGTTTAGTCGACTAGACCCGCACATCCCTACTCTGTAGGGGTGTTTTGAATGGTTTTTGCAAAATACACGACAATGTCAAATTGCACATCGTTAAAACAACAGTTACGATATTATCGCAGATGATATATATCGCACACCCCTACTTGTTATTAATGTATTTTGAATGCAAAAGGCACTTAAAAAAAAAAAGTTGATTTGTTATGCATGTTTATTAAAAACAAGTTTTGTAATAATTGTTCCGGACCTTTGACATTAATGAAAATTCAGATTTGGACCTTTGAATGTAGACTTTAAGAACCCTGGTTTAGTTTATTTTAGGAAATTCAGGCCAGGTTCTCTTGTGTAAGAGTTGTTCATTTGAACAGGGTTTGTGCTTGCATATTGTTTTCAGAGAACCAGAATACTATGACTATGGACATGGAGAGACACAGGAGGGCTATGAAAACTACGGTAAGTTTAGTTTTCTGGTCATTTAGTCCCCAAACCTTCATCTGTTGCTGATGGTTTCAAACATTTATTATAGTTACTTCAAGGGTGTGGACTGTTACAATAGATAACACTGGTGTTGCTGAACAGAACAATTCCTGTATTTCAAGATGGTTACGGAAGTATTAATACCTACGAGTCCTGGTCAATGCTATATTTATATATTTGGAAATAAAGTCTGTCACACAGGCTGTGTCTGAAATCGCATACTGTCTAGTAGGTATTTGCTTTGAGACTTTGTTACTGTTGAAGTACATTCTATTTAGTATGAATGACTTTTTGAATACTATGAATTTGGACATACTACACTTGTCAGGTACTCTGACCTACTGTATATTATGGAAGTAGCCATATCTGGATGCAGCACATAGTTTGAGCCATAGCATAGATGTTCACAGTTTACTTTATACTTATTTTATTATAAGTGCCCTACCAGCAATGTTTTGACTTATTTTTAAACAATTCTTGTAAATTTGCGTTTATAACCATTCTAATACAGATTTGGTGGGGCTTAGTGAAGATCATTTATTTAGATTTTTTTTAACACTTTTGGTGAGCTATAGTTTGCTTGCTGTTGTTTTACCCACTTGCACTGTGTTTAATCCCGCAGCTCAAGATGACTGGAACGGGACACAGCGCCCTGCTGGTGGTGGAAAAGCTCCCACTCAGAGACCGACTAAGCCTGGGTTAAGGGAACACCCATATGGACGATACTAAGTCTGATTAGTGGAACGTCACCCAACGCGTCGCCATGACAACTGTCTCCCATGGCAGCTCACGCTTTAAGCTACCCGACAAAAGTAATTGTCCGTTTGTTTTTTTTGGTTTTGTGTTTTTTACTCCGGACTTTTTTAAAGAAACTCGACAGAACGGCATTTGAATGCCTCAAGAATCAACATAACCTTTAGAAGGATTAAAGTTTAAACATGGCTGTTTTTTTGTTTGTTTGATTTACTTTTGTTTTTGCCAATATCTCTTCCTCTGCTCATACCTACCCTTGCTTTTTTGCATTTGTCCATGGTAAACGTTTGTTCCAATGATTGGAAAAAGTATTTAGCTGAAAGGTAAAGCCTAACAACTGTACAGCCACTTTTTATGTGTCTCAGGACACCACTTTAATTTGTGTTACCTTAAAAACTCTGCTGAGGTGCAGTTGCAGATTCCCATGTAGGCTACATTTCAAAATTCTGTTTAATACTAGAATATCAAAAAGAGCTTAAACGTAATGTATCTTTTGTAATGAGGAGTATAAATTACTGAAATGCAAAATGTCTTTAATGGTATTTCCAACAGCCATTGATTATTCCTCATTTGATTTAAATAGTCTTAAAAGCTGTAAATGTAAATTTAGGCCTCAATATTTTTCCTTGTATCTTTAGAGTTTTGAAATATAGCCCAATTAGACGCTGTTGAGATGGAATGTCCTCAAATCCTTAATTTGTTAAAATAAGATGTTAAATTTCAAAACTGTTCTGTAGAATAACCCATGTTTGGCTACTTATGTTTAAAGGGGAAAAAAATATATCATCAAACAAGACAATGACACCATGCTATATAAACTGCATGCACAAACTGCTTAAAAAGGATTTGGACAACAATCTCCACAAGGGTCATCTCTTTCTTATGTAAAGGGATACTGCAGCTAAAACCGACTCTATTGTACATAATTTAAAAAAGGAAAGAAAAAAAACAACAACCCACATCCAAACTGTACTTTACTGCCATTTAGTATTTGTATCCTCTCCATAAAATGCAGAATGACTTGTGTAAACTTGCCTAAATAGGTAACTAAATCTGTCCAAAACATGTTTTGCAGCAGATGTCAATAAAGCTTAGATTGTTTTTTATGAAACTTTAACCTGGTTTATTTTTCTTTGTCTTCATAAAATCTGAAATGGCCTTTTAAATAACTCATAACCTTCGGTTCCAACCTTTCTTCCTCTTCAAAAACAGATTTTAAATTTAAAACAATGCATGTAGTCTGAAGACGTAAACTACACTAAAGGAGTCTGTTTAAAGTGTTTGATTTGACAATTAAAAGCACACCTTTAATGTTTCTCTCTCTTTTTATACTTAAAAAGGACCCTAGAGGTAAGACCTGTGCTCTTTAAAATAACCTGGATAGCTTCCTAATGTCTATAGAGAGAACTAAAGCATTCGATGCTTGGGTATGTATTAAACTTTTCTTGAATGACATTTTATTTTTGGTCTCAGAATGGGAAATGTATTACAGCCTGAAATAATTTGAATTTAAAAGTTAAGTTATGCAGGGGCCATATTTGTCAAGACTGATGCAAAGACAAGTTGGCTGCTTTTAGTAAAGAGGACAGGAGAGGACTGTTAAACTTTAAGTGCAGCATTGTAAAGGTAAACCCTAACCCTAAATTTGTACGCGAGTAGTGTTACATTTATATACTTAAAACTGTTTGGTAACAGTGCAATGATTTAAAAGATCAATCGTTTAAAAACATAAAAGTAAAGTGGAAAAATATATATATATATATATATATATCTATACAAACGCAGTAATAGATTTTGCTTATAATAATATTTCTGTACTAACATTTCAGAGCAGAATTATTATGCAACTCATGCTAAAAGTGCTCAGTGTCAAATCTTGATCCATCTATGTTTGTAATGCTGCTCCTGTTTTTTTTCTTTTGCGATTTAATTGTTTAATGTATTGAAAAACTCAAATGTCCTACCTGAAAAAGTTACCTGGAAAAGCTTGAGTTGCATGACTCAAACTTGGCAGATTGCATGAGCTTCCTCAATACAAAATAGTTTATCATAGCAATGTTTGATTGTTCGCTCATAGCATTCTCTCTTCCCTAGGTTGTGATGCCTAGCAATTCCTGGAAATGGAACATTTAATCGAATGTCAGACCTCTCCTCAGGTCAGTTATCTTTTCCACTGAAACTGAAAACATGCATCAATGCTCATCCATTAAGAGTTTTGTTACTTTTGTTTGTTCTCTGTAGTTTTAGTCCATCTTAATTCTGATGAGTCAAAGCTTTCCAAATCTGCATGTTCTGCAAGAAGCGCTAAATGGCACAAAGTTGCACTGCCCTAATGGGCTTGTTTCCGGTTTCCACTATATACTCAGCTCTGTAATTACTGGTAGCTCCAGTGGCTTAATGTGATGAATGGACTCATCATGGAAGATGATTTAGATGCCTTGGAGTTGTGTGTGTGCTCCTCCCTCTTGCTTGCTTTGCTGATCGACTTGTAATTCTCCTACAGGAAAAGACAAGCGTTTGTTTGCAGTGTAAGAGCAATCTTACCTTTGAACACCAGCTGCCTTTAAGGAACCATGGACAGTCTGACTGAGCCGCTTCTGAACAGTTTGGAATGGCAGAAATCGATAGTCCTGTCGGCTAACGTTTGATCCAGCAACCTCTTAATGGGTTAAAGTGGGAAAAGTCTTGAGCTCTTGATGCTTGTTTATGTTGGCTCTCCAGTCGTAATGCAAGGTAATTTTCTCTGTACTGAAAGTTTCTCTTTACTGTTCACCTCATCAAATGCTTTCTAAGCACAGTTTACTTGAAATGTTCATCTTTAAATTGACTACTACTGCTCATGTTGGCCAAACAAATCATTTTAACAAGCTCAAATTCTGTCGGGGCTCTCCAGACGTCTACCTCAGACAATACTCCAGTGTTTTGTTCTGCAAGACAAGCATGTCTTCCCCGGTTCCTCGCTCGGAGGAACGTACATGCTAATTTGGAGCTGTCCGGCCCCTATCTCTTAGCACAGACTTTGTCTGTTAACTGCCATGGTAATTTTCATCGTGCTCTTGAGTAGATCTGTTTGAATGTGTTTATGCTAGCGGAGCTTTCCATAAATTCTGCTTTTTCTAATCCTCGCTGTGTTTGGCACTGTGTATGTGTTGCTGTCAGTGTATATCACTGTAGCTTCCATCTCTTGCTCATCTCCACCCCCCTCCAGCACACATAGGATTCGAGCCCGTCATTCTGACCAATTACCGCCGCTGACAGTGTGTCCGTCCCCCCACAGAGCCGCCACTGGTTGCCGACTGGCTAACAGGACTAATGCCTTATTGCATTAGAGACAAATCAGTCCTCGGCACAGATTTTAATAAGCATTAGCCACTGCTCAAGTGCCATCGAGCAATTGGAAATGGGTGCACGTGGGTAGGAGGTTGACCGGTTTGTATGCAGGCTTCACTGTAATGAGAAATCGCAAAAGCAGATAATGGAAATATTGAATTCATTTCCCAGACAGATGCTTTGGGGGTAAAGAAAACTACTCTCAAGGAGAAGGAAATGTTCAAACCCACTGCAAGCACTTAAATGGTCTTTGTTTACACGGTCATATCTGTTTGCGTCAGGCATGCGTGGCCTACAGCTGCTGGGGGAATGCCTCTGGGGTAATGTGCAAGGCATGTGTGGCGGTCTGAAACTGGGGGATTGTGGCTTGGCAGCTCTTTACTCTTAACACACATCGTGCATGCTGAAAACAGGAAGCATGGCTTTGCGAATGCAAATGAAATGCAAAACGCTTGCTTACTCTACTGACTGCCTGTCTTCCTGCATGGCCATTTTGCTAGTTTCACACCTAACCAGTACACTCCAGGGAGTCAGGGTTTTGAGTGCACGGGGAGGAGTTGTGACGGTTTCTGGCTCGTGTCCTGGAGAACCGTGGCCGCTGGCCACCGCCTTTAGTGTGAAATGCTGGTAATAACTAAGCCTCCTAAAGGTCTCTCTGAATGTGCTGTGATGAAAATGAATTTAATCCATCCATGTGGAATCTGGCTCGAGTAATCCGTAGCCCTTCAGGACTAAAAGTTGGACACCTCCACCTTGGCTGTCGCTGAAGTAACATTTTATTGCATGTTTTCCAACATCCACACAAGCCGACGCACCTAACACAATGTCGGGAAACCATGGGAATTGCTTGGGATTAGTGATGAAATACAAGTGCCAGGAGTCTGAATACTTCTGTTTTCCTAAGGAGATTGGATTGATGAGCCTGCATTTACAGTGCAACTAAACTGGATTTGAAATTATTGAAGTGCCTAGCTGTTGGCCTTATCTCAGTAGAAGCAAACTAAAGCCTTTGGGGTCAGAGAAACCGTTTGGTGACTTAAGGGAGCGGACAGAATTTTTCAGTCATTCAAACTTGTTTGGTAGTTGGTGCATCCAAGAGCACTCGCGCACAGTCTGCATATGTTTGACTACAATGAGAATACTTAACTTCACAGATGTTTTTACCTGTTTTGTAATGTCAAAAATAAAAAACTGAATTCAAGAAGTGGCTCCTATGTGTCTCTTTCAAAGCTTGTCTTCATGTCTCTTGATAGCTTGTTCTCCTCAGGGTTTCAGAATGAACTACAATGGACTCAAATACAACAATGGTTTACAGTAAAATAAATCCGTATAAAATATATAGTGCAATAACTTGAATGCTATAGAAAGAAGCAATGCACTCAATCAGCTACTGTCTTTATCAAATGCTACTGTAATTTGACTTCATTTTCATTTTAGGTATCAGTGGCTCCCTTGTCTTTGTTTTTTGTTTTTAGCTATGAAATCTTTGTGCTATAAAGCAAAGGACTTCGTCCCTGTTTTTGGAGAACCACTGGCCTGCAGAGTTTAGCTTCAACCCTATTCAAACACACCCGAACCAGCAAATCAAGACCTTCAGGATCACTTGAGAATCATAGGTAGGTCTGTTGAAGCAGGTTGCAAATAGACTTTGCAGGATGGTTGGGCTGTATCCAGCCCAATACTAATATAGGCCCTCGAATGAAAACGAGCGAGTTGGGCAATTGAACTTCCTGGTAATACAGTAAGTGTTCATGGGTGTTTTCTATTGGCCAGCCATTGAGTGTACGTCGATTGTACACTTGTAAATGAGGTGCATTATGGGATTGAATGAGTACGCTCGGTAATGTCCACAATGGTTTTGGACATCACTATATAAATGGATGTCCCCTTAAAGGTGGGGTAAGTGATTTCTGGTAGCCAATGTTGACATTTGAAATCACCAAAACCAACATGCCCCTACCCCAAAAGGATCTTGCCCCTATTTTGATTGTTCTGCCCCACACATACGTACGCAACCCAGGCAACGATTAGTTCTGTGAAACAAAACAAACCAATGTTACAAAAGAGTAATTTGTTCAGACTCAGCTGCAGCTTTAACGGCATTAAAGGGAAGGAAAAGTGAAGCTAGGTCAGACTTAATAGTAGAATTATTAGTAACACTCAATCGAGTTAATAAAATGGGGAATATAGTGGGATTTCTTTGGGTGCCAGCTCATATAGGTGTTCAGGGAAATGAAGAGGCAGATGAAATGGCAAGAAAGGCTGTAAATAGAAGTGAAGTAGAGTTGGATGTTATGTACGGAAGAGTTGAGTGTAAACGTATTATCCAAGAAGGAACAATAAAATTGTGGCAAAAAGAATGGGATGAAGGATATTAAGGCAGATATTAATATTCTGTTCAGCCAATAAGAGGGCATTCTATGATTAGAAGGTTAGAAAGAAAATAGTGTTGTTTTAACTAGATTAAGGTTGGGCCATTGTGCGTTGAACTTTGGGATAGCAAGGATTGGAAAACATCCAGATGGCAGATGTAGATGTGGACGAAGAAACTGAGCCATGTGATAATGGAGTGTGCCATTCATCATGCAGCAAGACGTCACATGTTTTCAAAGTTATTTAAATGTGGAGTCAATGAAGTGGAGAAACAAATGTTTCTTTAAAATCTATCCTTAGCTCAAAGGATTATGAGTCGACGAAAGTCATTATCAATTTTTGTACATTACTGGACTTTACGCAAGTATTTAAATGTTAAGCGGAGTATCCAGATGACCTGAGGAGGGCAGTAATACGCCGGTGATGCGTCTAGCCTGCCGCAAATTCTATAAGAAGAAGAAGAAACCAATGTTACACCGCGTCTACACCGGACGCGAGTGGCGCGGCACAACAAAATACTATAGAACTCATTATAATCAGTGATGCTGTCTACACCATAGATATATATACATATCTATGGTCTACACTGGATGCGGCGCGGCACGACACGACAAATCCCCGACAGAAAACTGCTGCTGCGTTCTATTTATGACGACACAAATTTCAAATGATTTTCAATGGTCGCTTTGTCACGTCCAGTGAACTAGACAGACTTTAGCTGTTGCGGCGCAGACACTGTGTTACTCACCTATCGAGAAGAAACAAAGCAACCTCGGCGTCCGATCGCAGGCCTTCCGCTCCTTGAGTTCTCTCCAGTGCTGGATCAGCACTCTCCAGTGCTGATCCGATATTTACATGGGTCCTATTTCTTGCCTTTCGTTTGTTCTGCAGACGTTTTCCTCTTTTTTTTAAAATTTCATCTCTATCTTTCTGTCGCTCGGCTAATGTCCGTCCTGTGCACTGAACGTTCTCTCCTCCACATCATGAGTAGACACGCCCCTTACTGCTGATTGGCTACATGTTTGTTTTGCTACTTGGCATGAATCAGTTTTCTAAAGCGTTTTTGAAAAATCGCTTACCCCACCTTTAACTAGCTCACTATAAAAGGTTATTGCAGTGATGAGGAGCAGGGTTGAAGACTTCTGATTAAAAAGAACCATTATGGTTAAGCTCTATGAATAACATCTGTTGCATGCTGATTACCACAGAAAATCATGCTGGCTCATACCTCAGATTGTAAAATCAGCAGAAATGTGTTTGCAGTGGATGTCCGTGAGGCAGCTGTTGTATGGATTCCCCATAGACTTCCATTGTAAGTGCAAGCAACATTCAGACAGTCTGTGTAATAACTACTTGTCCTGCTGGTTGCTGTGCTGAGCATGTTTTGAAACCAATAAGGATGAATAAGATGTGCATCATGCGGCCCTCATGAATAATTGAAGACTCCCATTTAGTCTTGAATACTTTTAATGCACAACGAGGATGTGCTTTCACGAGCCGGGCACTTAGAAAACTATGTTTAGATAAAACCTTGATGTAAGCAGGGTCTGTTGAGCAATTGTGGTGTTTTTAATGGAATGTGTGTTTAATGCGAGTGCGCTCAGGTATCTGGTGCAACAGATGAGAATCAATGAGACATGCAGGGCACTACACAGCTTGAAGGTAAGTGGGCGCCGATCTGCCCTTTGGCTGTGCTCAACAAGCATTAAGTTCAAGAGGAAGTATCATGTCTTAAGGTGTCTTCACACAGCCAAGTTAAGGCTGCTCTGTGCCTGCTCAGTATAAAGATGCAGTGCTGCATAAAATCCCGGCTAAATTATGCCTGCTTCAACCCACCTCAGCCCTTGGTATCAAAGTATACAATTGTAATTTCTCATGTAAATGCATTCATGCCACCTCCGAGCTGTTTTAAACAGTCTGTGTAAAGCTACCAAAATGCCACTTCAGAAACCCTTCTGTGCCACATTTGCAGTGTAAATTTGGCATTATTGGTGATAAACTCTTGGTGTTGCAGAAGAACCTTTGCATCAAGTCTTCATGTATTTATAGATGAGTAATTGCTTCCATCCTTGTGTTTTCAGAGCATAGTTTGGCAAAGCTAAATGACTAAAAAGGAAACTGTTCTCATTTTGACCTACAACCCACGCTGATGGTACAAATCCGCCCGCTCTCATCCTTCCTCTTCACTGGTCTGCTGCCAGTATGTTCGCTCTGAGTGAGACTGAAATGGCAGCAAAGCCTCAGGAGTGTTTTCATGTGGAAAGTAGTTGCAGTTGATGCAGTTTATGTTTTTTATCGTTAGTGTTTCCAAGCGAATCCGCCTCCTCAAGCTAACCCCGGAATCACCTTTTAAAGATCGTTTCTTGTTGGGAATGTAGTTTAAACCCAACGGTCTGTCACAGGTCACTGCTGCGGACTACGCTGACATGTCCGCCTATGCTGCTTCTCTTCTTTCCTGTTTACATGGAAACCCTGGGCCTCATTAGCTCACGCACTTGACTCCAGAGCCCTGTCTGTGCTTCCACGGGAGCGAATCCCTCGGAAGCAATTTAGGGCTCGATATAAATCAGTTTTTATGTTAAATAGTTGCCTTGGAAGGAGGTGTGGGGGTGGGGAAGTGTGCGCTTTACCGAGCCGTAGGCTTCCCACACGTCCCTTGTGCTTTAGTCACAACACTGACCACCGCTGACTGTCTCTGCCTTCCTCTCTCTCGCTCTCTACAGATCTTAGTAATTCACCTCACTTGCTCATACTCTCCTGCCAACCTGCAGTTTTCTTCCTCTCTCTGGTCTCATGTTTGACCCTCTGCAGTTGTTGTGCCTTGCCTTTGGCTCAGCTCTAATTTTAGTAGGATTGAAGAAAGTCTAGCAGGGGAAGGGCGAGGGGTCTTTCTACGAGACTCAGACTTCCAACCTAATTACCCATCCTGTTACCTCAGTATCAGACTCCCTGCAGCAAACCCAGCCAGCGGATGCAGCGGTGACTCAGTCACCTCTCCATAGATCAGAGCTTTTCACTGAGAATAAGGGTCGGATTC